TTATTATTATTATTATTATTATTATTATTATTATTATTATTATTATTATTATTATTATTATTATTATTATTATTACTACTACTACTATTATTATCTATCTTTTTTTTTTCATGTTCGTGTATTATAACGACAACCTAGTATTCGTATGTTTGTTGTTGTTTTATTTATTGAGTTAATTATTAATTTTTTTTTCTTTTTTGGACTCAGTTATTCTACGTGGACAAGGTAGTGTTGTCCGTGAGATCGGTCCCGAGGAGGTTCCCGACGTTTAGCTCCTGGAGTAACGAGGCCTTAAGAAACAGAGAATGTGACGAGATCGCTTCGGGGGCCTTCGGGAGAGGTTTCGTGGATGCAGACGCTCTCGATACCCACCAGCATGATAAAATTTGTACGAACTCTGACGACATCATTGCTGGGGTCCTGGAGAATTGTAGTGTACAGGTAGATACCGATTTGCCTTTTTTATTTCTCTCTTTATATATATTTATATATTTTATTTTATTAACTGATGAAATGTGCATTTGTTTGGTGTAAAATGTGCCATGTGCAGATCATAAATGTGCATATGTGAATGATGATTGCATACACGAATTGTGTTCGCCTATGTGAGTCTGTGTTTATATAATGAGGCTGATACCGCATACATATTGTGTAATACACAACGTATACTTGTGCAATTTGTTATAAATAAATGTGCTTGAAAATGTGGTGTTTGCAAAACGCCTTTCTATATTGTTACTTCTCAAACTTATGGCGGTCCACGTTATGCGTTGTGATTTTCATCATATGACTTTACCTGTGTTGTTTTTAGACCCCCATTTTTTTTTATTTATTTGTTTTTATGCGTCATGATTCCCTCACCCGTCTTAAGTTATCATTGCATAATGTGCATTGGCCGTTGTGAAATTGTGCACTGTGATATGCAGTAGAGTGCATTATTAATTAACTGTAGCATTACATCTTTTCATCAGGCTTATGTTCATGAGTTTACGTCTAAAACACGGCTTCTTGCAACTACCGAGGTTGAAACACTACAATTGGTTGAAAAGGCCCCGCAAGTTCTACTTGAAGATTAGAACTTTGTGAAAATGAACGAGGCGGCGCAAAAGCTTCTTGGAGTGTACAATGAAGTTCCACACAGTGACCTGAACCATCCCGTTAATAGTCAGGAATGTGGCCCAATCGGAAAAAAGGATGACGTAACAGATAATACCATTAGGGGTGGCGTTTCACAGCAGACCGACGATGCATTCTGGAACACTCCTGATACATTAGCTGCACTTGATGAGGTTATGAATGCAATTGAACAGCGGGACCGCTTCAAGAGGATGCACAATGAGGGGCCCAGTTACAGCTTGGGGTTGGGTTTGACTCCAGATTATGTTGTTGCCGCCGACGACGTTGATGATGGCGCACGTCAGCGTACGAGTGTGGATAGAGATAAAAACATAGTTGGGACGTCACTTACTGTGGATGCGCAAAGAGGTACCTGCTTTAATAAATGCATACGTACCACTGTGGTAGGTGTAGAGTTTGTAGTGCGTTTCTGTAAACATCTTAGCGATGCTGTTTTAATACATTTATTTTTTCATTTACGAAGTTGGCGTTGGTTTGTTTGACAAGACGATGATACTGAAAGTACCTGGGCTAGAAACCGGCAAATGTGCAACTACAGGTACACGTGTAATTGACGTCATTGTTAACGCACCAAATGTGCTTATTTTTTTTCCTCTTATGTATCCATGATTTGTTTGTTCATACATATATATTTATATACGTTTTCCAATTTTCATTTTTTTTTTTCAGACAATCTGATGTTTTGGATCGTGTCGAGGCTGCAGACGGGAAATCGAAGCCGAAAAGACGTACTAAAATAGATTACTTGGGCATAATTTTTATTTTTCAATTTTCGGCCCAAAATAGATTACTTGGGCCTAAAAATTAAGAAAAACAATAATAATGAAATAAAAAATAGAGGAATATACACCCTATACTATCAAATCTATTTTATATTATATATTTACATTTAATTAATATTTATTTGTAAAGATACAAAATCACTCAATATATTTGCACATATACCTTCATCCTTATCCAAAATCAACCATATTTCAAACCTTACACGTTGTCCTTTCTTCTTCCACCATATTCCCTTTCCACTTTCTTCTTCGTCATTAACAACCATATTCCCCTTCCATTTTTCCCAATGTATTCATATTATTCAATCTAATAATTTCGCAAGAAAAGTTGAAACGAAATGGCAAATAAATTGTAACGCCAGTTCTCGTCATCCTTCACAAGGGTTTCTAACTGCGGCTCATTTGCACGATGACTCAACTATTCCAGAATCAGCGGTTAAAGACAAAGGAATCGTAAATATCCAATGCGAAAGGAAAGATCCATGACCAAACTGAGGATAAAAGGAAACGACGCCCAAGTCTGAAGAAGATGACGGTTACGAGA